ATTTTTAATGCTGAATAGAACTCCATTGTGTAAATATACCACATTTTTGTTAACCACTCATCAGTTGAGGGACACATAGGTTGCTTCCATCTCTTACTATTGTGAAAAGAGCAGCAGCAAACAAGGTTGTATAAGTGTCTCTACAATAGGATGAGTCCTTTGGGTATATGCCAAGGAGTGGTATAACCGGATCATATGGTAGGTTCATTTTTAGTTTTTTAAGGATTGTCCACACTGCTTTGCATAGAGGTTGCACGAGTTTGCACCAGCAGCAAATGAGTGTTCCCCTTTCTCCACATCCTTGCCAGTATTTAGTATCATTTGTTCTCTTGATCCTAGCCAGTGTGATTGTGGTAAGGTGATACCTAAGGGTGGTTTTAATTTGCATTTCCCTAATGACTAACTATGTTTTTGAGATGTTTCTTAGCCATCTTTATTTCTTCATTTGAGAACTCTCTGTTTAGATCTTTAGCTGATCTTCTAATTGGGTCATTTGTTTTCTTGCGTCTTTGTTTTTTGTGTTCTTTATATATTCTGGATGTTAGCCCCCATAAAATGTGTCACTGGTGAAGATTTTTTCCCATTCTGTGGGTTTTCTCTTCGATTTTTGATTGTTTCTTTTGCTATATACAGAAGCTTTTTAGTTTAATGAGGTCCCACTTGTTGATTGCTGACCATAAGTCCTGAGCAACTGCTGTCTAATTTAGAAAACCCTTTCCTACACCTAAATCTTATAAGTTACTGCAAATATTTTCTTCTAATAGTTTCATGGTTTCCAGTTTCATATTGAGGTCTTTGATCCATTTGGAGTTGACTTTTGTGCAAGGTGAAAGATAAGGATCTAATTTCATTCTCCTAAGTTTCAGAGTCTCAGGCTTTACGTTGAAGTATTTGAGCCATTTGAAATTGACTTTTTTGCAAGGTGAAAGATAGGTGTTTAGTTTAATTCTTCTACAGGTGGAGATTCAGTTTTGCTAGCACCATTTGTTGAAGATGCTGTCTTTCCTCCATTGTGTGTTCTTGGCACCTTTGTCAAATATCAGGTGGCTGAAATTGCATGTACTTGGGTTTGGGTCTTTACTGATGTTCCACTGATCTATCTATTTTTGTGCCAGTACCATGCTGTTTTTGTGACTGTAGCTCTGCAGTATAATTTAAGATCTGGTATAGTAATTCCCCCCCACCCCCAGCATTGTTCTTTGTGCTCTGGGTTGCTTTGGCTATCCGGGGTCTTTTGTGCCTCCATATGATTTTAAGGATGGATTTTTCTAATTCTGTGAAGTATGTCATGGGGATTTTGATTAGGATTGCATTGACTGTATTGCTTTTGGTAGGGTGGTCATTTTCACAATATTAATTCTTCCAATCCATGAGCATGGGAGGTCCTTCATTCTCCTGGTGTCTTCCTCAATCTCTTTAATGATTTAAAAATTTCATTATAGAGATCTTTGGTGCCTTTGGTCAGATTTATTCCAAGATATTTTAATTTTTTTGCAGCAATTGTGAATGGGATCATTGCCCTGTATTCTTTCTCCAGTTGTTTGTTACTGGTATATAGAAAGGCTACTGATTTTTGTAGATTGATTTTATACCTTGCCATTATACCAAAAGTGTTGATCAGTTCTAAGGGTTTTCTGGTGGAACTTTTGGGATCTCTTAGGTATAATATCATGTCATCTGCAAAAAGTGATAGTTTTACCTCGTCTTTTCCAGTTAGTACTTGTCCTAGTTTGTTTCTCCATTGCTGTAACAAAATACTCTGACCAATACCAACTTGGAGAGGAAAGGGTTTATTTTATCTTACATCTCCCGGGTCACAGTTCAACAGGAAGCCCAAGGTAGGAGCTCAGGGCAAAAACCTGGAGGCAGGAACTGGAGCACAGGCCGTGGAGGAACACTGCTTACTTAGGCTTGCTCCCCTCTCCTGCTTAGCTTGCTTTCTTATGTAACACAGGTCCACCTGCCCAAGGCTGGTATCACCCACAGTGGGCTGGGCCCTCCCACATCACTCAGCAATCAAGAAGATGCCCCATGGACATGACCACAGTCCAGTCCAATGAAGGAAATTCCCCAATTGAGGCTCCCTCACTCCAGGTGTGTCAAGTTGAAACTAAAGCTATCCAGCACAGTACTAGTTTAATTTCCTTCTCCTGTCTTATTGCTCTAGCAAGAATTTCAAGCACTGTGTTAAAGAGGAGTGGAGATAGTGGACAGCCTTTTCTGGTTCCTGATTTCAATGGGAATGCGTCCAGTTTTTCTCCGTTTAGAATAATGTTGGCTGTTTGTTTATTGTATATAGCTTTAATTATGTTGAGGTGTGTTCCCTCCGGCCCAATTCCCTCTAGGACTTTGAACATAAATGTGTGTTGAAATTTGTCAAAGGCCTTCTCTTCAGCTTGCGTATATTGAACTATTTCTGCATCTCTGGGATAAAGCCTACTTAATCATGGTGAATGATCTTTTTGATGTGTGTCTATATGTGGTTTGTAAGTATTTTGTTGAGAATTTTTACATCTATGTTCATTAAGGATATGGGTCTATAGTTTTCTTTTTTGGTTGTGTCTTTACCTGGTTTGGGTATTAGAGTGATGCTGGCTTCATAGAAGGAATTTGGGAGTTTTCCCTCTGTTTCTATCATTTTGAATAATTTAAGTAGTATTGGTTGGAGGGCTCCTTTAAATGTCTGGTAGAATTCTGCTGTAAATCCATCTGGGCCTGGGCTTTTTTTAGTCGGGAGGTTTTGTATTACTGTTTCAATTTCTTT